AAAAAAAAAAAAAAAAAAGAAATGAGGTCTTACTCTTGCTCAGGCTAGTCTTGAACTCCTGAGCTCAGGCAATCCACCTTCCTCGGCCCCCAGAGTGCTAGGATTACAGGTGTGAGCCACTGCACCCTGCCTGCTTGATTTTTTTGTTTTGTTTTGTTTTTTTGAGACAGTCTCACTTTGTCCCTCCTGCTACAATGGGAGCATGGTATGGTATCACAGCTCATAGCAGCCTCAAACTCTTGAGCTCAAGTGATTCTTTTGCCTCAGCCTCCCAAGTAGCTGGGACTACAGGCACTGCTACAACATCTGGCTGTTTTTAGAGATGAGGTCTTGCTCTAGTTCAGGCTGGTCTTGAACTTGTGAGCCTAGGCGATCCACCCAGAATGCTAGGATTATAGGTGTGAGCCACAGTACCCAAACTCTGGTTGGTTTTTTTTTTTTTTTGAGGTAGAGTCTCACTGTGCTGCCCTGAGTAGAGTGCCATGGCATCACAGCTCATAGCAACCTCAAACTCTTGGGCTCAAGCAATCCTCTTGAGCTTCCAAAGTCACTGGGACTACAGGCTCCCACCACAATGCCTAGCTAATTTTTCTGTTTTTTTAGCAGAGAGGAGGTCTCACTCTTGCTGGTTTGGAACTTCTGAGCTATAGGTGGGAGTCACCTTGCCTGGCCCCTGCAGGTGTTTTTAACATGCATGTTAGGCCCTATTAGTGATCTAGTATCTTAATGTTACAAGAATAACTCCAAAAGAGAGGGGGCATAACTCAGTGTGTCTGAACACCCTTCTCATGACTGGCAATTCAGTTTTAAGGTTTCTTTCTGGGGTACCATTGGCTCTGAGGAAGTTTATGCAGCCGACTGGTGGGGGCTTAATATTTTATTTTAGTTCACAGCATCCTGAGCAAAGTCTACCTTACCATTTTGATAAGCATCAGAATAATTTTTTTCCCTTTGCCAATAGAAACAGGGAACCAACAATGTGGCCCCCACCCCAGGCTACTATGGGCTGAGTTGAAAGATTCCTGGCTATGCCATAGGCACACCAGGAATGGCCCCTCATGTCATGCTGAGATTTTCTGGCCAGGAGCCCTGGTCATCAAGGCAAAATTATCTTGTGATTCACCACCATAGATCTTAAGCCCACCTTGGCCTCAATACTCCTGGGAAAAGAAGTTCCCCATAGCATCTTATTCTATCCAGGGCTTTAGCAGTCAGGCGGTTGCTACTGCTTCTGGCAGGGGTGAGCATTATTTCCTTGGCACCATCAGAATGAGTCTTAATGTCAGGGTCAGGCTGGGACACACACTGTGATATTTTCAGGGAGGGCAAATGTAGGGCTGGTGATCTGGGCTCTCTGGCCAGGAAGGGGGGGGCGGTGCAGGGGAGGAGAAGGAGGAGGGAGAGACAATCCTCAGTCTGGTCAGAGTGACTAATTTAGGCAAAAGATAGCCAGAAGCTATTTCCATTCAAGGTGGGAACAGGTGCCCTTCCCTGCCTGCTGCAAGCCTTGCCCTTCCCCCCACCTCCGCATGGGGGCCACCTCCCTCTGGCCACCTCCAGGTTGCCAGACCTATAAAGGCCCTGGGTTGGCTCCATGAAGGGAAGCCCAGCTAGGGCTGCCTGGAAGCCACCCACCCAGCGCTGTCCTCACCGCCTCTCCACTCATGGACATGAAGCTCATCGTGGGCATTGGAGGGTGAGCAGGGAAGAAGAAGAGGAGGAGATAGCAGATGAGGAGGAGGGGGAGGAAGGGACATGGGAGAAGCAGGAGAGGTGGGAGAGGCTGGAGAATGAAGGGAAGGCTGCAGGTATGCCCAAGGTCACACACCTGAGGTCAAGGGCACACTACCCAAAGTCTAAGTAGTGCAGGGTGGATTCTCTGCCCTGGGGGTGTCTCAATGCCCTCAGCAGAGAAAGAGGCTAGATACTGAGCTCAATTTTTCATTCTTCAAATAGAAATCATTTTCCCCCACTGATTATCCTTAGCATCAAAAAGCAAAAATCCTAATTTCCATTTCCCACTGGAGGTAAAAAAAAAAAATCATTCCGGATAGAAAATTTACCTAAGCACAGGAAGACCCTCCAACCACTTGGGGCCATCCTTGGAGAGCCCAGGAACAGATATGTGGGTGAGTGGGACAGATCCCCACAATGTCTTGGGCAGGATGTATGTGTACACCTGCCTTTGAAGCCCTTTGTGTGTGACCTCAGGTGAAAGCCTCTTCCTCTCCCTCTCCTTGAAGATTCAAACTCTCTGCTTTACTAGCAATAATGAGGGAAACATTTAATTGGCTGGGCTGGTTTCCTGAGCTGCCACTCTTCCACACACCCCCCCCCCAGAAAGAACTGGAACTTGGTTTAATGCTCTGCTGCCCCACCTCTTGAAATTCCTAATATGTTTTGTGAAAGGGGCATTTTCATTTTAGAGCCAGTTCTGCAAATTCTGCAGCAAGCTGTGAGCACAAGAGAAGCCTTTTGGGTGGTACCTGTGGCTCAGTCAGTAGGGCACTGGCCCCATATACCCAGGGTGGAAGGTTCGAACCCAGCCCCAGCCAGTTAAAACAGCAGTGACAATTGCAACAACAAAATGGCTGGGTGTTGTGGTGGGTGCCTGTAGTCCTAGTTACTGGGGAGGCTGAGGCAAGAGAATCGCTTAAGAGTTGGAAGTTGCTGTGAGCTGTGATGCCACAGCACTCTACCCAGCGCAACAAAAAGGAGACTCTGTCTCAAAAGAAAAAAAGAGAGAGAGAGAGAGAGAAACCTTTTCCTGACAACCTATATCAATGTCATGCATCTTCTCACTTGCTTCTGAGTAACATATGGGGCCCTCTATTCCCCTTAGTCCTTTTTAACAGCTGCTGTGTTTGCTCCCTTGTCCCACACCCTGCTTTATGGCCTAAATTCCTGCCATAGTGATAATTGAAGAAAAGGGAATTGGAGGCCACAAAGGCTCCAAGGGTGATCCTTGTGTTTTGTAAGCTCTGGGAGTCAAGATTTCTTGTTCTCTTTGCCATGGGGTAACCAGCCCTTCTCAGGCAAACCAGCCCCTCTATGTTGCCAGTAACTATTTTTTCCTCCTTTCCTTTTTTGTCTTTTCCTGGTTATGAACAAGGTTGTACATCAAAGGAGGTTGTACATCATGGATTTGCATGAGGATGACGTCAGCCCACATGTATTAAGGAGTACTTAGAATGTCCTCAGCACGTGCTAAATCTGTGTGTGTGTGTTAGCTTTGTTTCAATGCTTTCTGCCTCTTTTCTCTGCTCAGAAAGTCTTCTCTTACCCTCAGTGAATAAAAATGTTCTCTTATTTGCACTACAGTTTACAGTTTTCTGTTTAATTCTAATCCTGAAGAGATCATTTGCAGGGAGGTCCTCAGACCCAGACAAGCCCTGGTGGGCCTGAGGCTTCCCAGCCAACCTGCCTTGATTTCTCCCAGGGGAGGGGTCTTAGCAGCCTCACACATGCTCTCTCACCAGTGTGACCAATGGTGGCAAGACAACGCTAACCAACAGCCTGCTCAAAGTGCTGCCCAACTGCTGTGTGATCCACCAGGATGACTTTTTCAAGGTGGCTGCCCTTCCCTGGGGGTGGATAAGGAAGGGGGCACAGTCAAGTGGGCAAGCACCAGCCTCCACTTGCTGCCCAACCCCTCTTGGGTGGCTCTGGGAAAGCAAAGGACACATGCCCAGCCCACTGTACTGGACAGTGGGGAACCCCATTAGACTGATAGGGAAACATCAGTCCCCACAGGGGGGCCACAGCATTGTGGCCTTCTGAGTAAATGCTCTTTCTTCCTGTGCACCTCAGTTTTCCCATCTGTAAAATGGGCTCTGAGCCTGCCCTGTCTGCATTGTTATGAGTGAGGGCTAAAGAAATGACAGAGAGAATCCAAGTGCCACCCTGGGCCCCCATTCCTCCTCAGACCTTGGAAGCTGTAAGCAGCAGCCTCACTGAGGAGTTCCACCCCAGCCGGGCACTTTATCACCCCAAGGTAGGGGTAAGGTAGGGCAGGTAGGAACAAGCACTGAGCCAAATTCGGGCTCCTCTGTTTCAGCCGCAAGACCAAATAGCAGTTGGGGAAGACGGCTTTAAGCAGTGGGATGGTAAGGCCAACAGCAGCCCGGTCTTGCCTGCACCTGGCCCCCCACTGTCCCTGGGTCCCAGCCCTCCTTCAACACCTGCCCTGCCCACCCCTAGTGCTAGAGTCGCTGGACATGGAGGCTATGCTGAACACCGTGCAGGCCTGGCTGAGCAACCCTCAGAAGTTCGCTCGTGCCCATGGGGTCAGCGTCTGGCCTGAGGACACCCACATCCTCCTGTTGGATGGCTTCCTACTCTACAGCTACAAGTGAGTGTGTGTGTGCTAGTCCCAGCCCTAAGGATGCAGACTCTCCTGTGTGGGTCCCCCAACAACATTTCTGTGTTGACTAATGGGACACCAAGGTCCAGGGGCAAGAGGAGGGCAAGAGTCAGGGGCAGAGCTGGAATCAACTCAAGTCTAGGTCAAACAGTGGCACTTCCTGGAGAAACTGAGTCCTCCTCCTAGAACTTCAGCCTTCTCATGCAGACCAGGAGCCTGAACTGGACCCTCTAGCCTTGCTGTGTGACTGGGCAAAACCTTGTACTGCTCTGTGCTAGTCCAAATAAGGGGAAAGGTGTGACTCCGTTTGAGGGGGGAGGGTGAGGTTGCTGAAGGGATGTTGGCCCATGCTGGCTCCCTCCCTGGCCCCTAAACTCACTGCCTCAGATATACCCTACCCAGAGGCCAAGGCCATGAGTATATTTTGACCAAGGTTGAAGAGAAGCTCATGGAGGCTCACCAAATCTTCTTACCCTGCCCAGGCCCCTGGTGGACTTGTACAGCCGCCGGTACTTTCTGACCATCCCCTATGAAGAATGCAAGTGGAGGAGAAGGTGGGGCTGGAGGCTGCAGGGCTGGGGTGGGGGTTCCCACAGGTCCTGTCCCCCATGGGACTATCAATGAACAGAAAATGCCACCGGACATGGCAGGCAGGGGGCACTTAGCCAGTCAGGGCTGTGTACCAGGAACCCTAAGCCCAAGGCCTGGAGAGTGTGGCTCCTGGGGCCTCTGAATTTGGGTTCCCTTTCTCACTGCCTACTGTGGCCTAGCTCCAGGGCCTGTTCTTGGCATGACCTTGGGTGCCATGGCTATTCCTCATTCTTGCTATCTCCCTGGATAGTACACGAAGCTACAAGGTCCCCGATTCTCCCAACTTGTTTGACGGTCACGTGTGGCCCATGTACCAGAAGTATAGACGAGAGATGGAAGTGGATGATGTGGAAGTGGGTAAGGTCCTGAGTGAGACCAGGCCTTTCTCTGGCTGGGGAGACACTAAGCCCAGCCCCTCCCTATCCTAAATGCCTTTTAGCCCTCCCTACTTTGAGGGAAAACTGAAAGTCCATCCTCAAGTGTCACCACCAGTCCCTCTTGCTGTTGCCCCCAGAAACTGTTTGATTCCAGCAGGCTGACCCTGCTGGTTGGCTTCCCTAGAGCTAGCAGTCCACCTGTGCCCCAGCCTCTGGCCAGCTTCCTCCTGGCAGCATTATCTGGTGACCCAGCAGCCCTGATGGAAGCTTTTCTGATTCCAGTCTACCTGGATGGCATGAAGTCCCGAGAGGAGCTCTTTCAGCAGGTCCTGGAAGACATTCAGAACTCGCTCCTGAATGACTCCTAGGCCTCTGCCCCCACACTGGTTCACCTCTTCAGACTGCAGGGACACAGACATGGTTGTGGCCACAGACTAGCCAGGCCTATGGTGTCCCAGCCAGACGCTTCATGACGGTTTCCCTCTGGGGGAGTCTGTGCAGACATGGGAGATTGAAGGTCCCACCCCCAGTTCTGTGTCTCAGGGTTCTGGGTCTCCACCCCAAGATGTCTTTGCGATCTCCACATGGTTTGAGTTGTTAAACTGGGTCCTGTTTTTTAATCACCAGTGTCCAGTGTGTTCTGTTTGAGGTCCTGTCCCCTCTCCTTGGCTCATCAGTGGCCACTTACTGTGCCCAATGGGCTGCTGTGTATGTGTGTGTGTGGGTGTGTATGGGGGTGTCTATGAAACCTTAGTTTCACCAAAGGAGAAGTTTCCTGGGAACGTTCACGAAGTTCCTGAGGTTGCCCTGGCTCTTCCCTGAGCTTGTCCCCTCCCCTACCCTCAGCCCGCATTTGTTCTCTGTGACCGACTCAGAATGATCATGAAGCCCACACTTCCTGTCCAGGTGCCTCTCCCCTGTCCCATGGAACTCATGTCTCCTTGAACCCTCCCAGCAACCTTGTTAAGACATTATTTATACCCATTTCATAGAGGGGTAAACTGAGGCTCAGCACAGCTGGTGAAGCTGAGATTTGAATATAAGTCTCCCCAGACAACATTCTTTTGCCCAGGGCAGGCAGATGGGGTTGGGGCACCCCTTGACCTGAGGGTGACACCCCATGGCCAGCCATGAATTGCAGTCATCAGCCCACAGTCCAAAGGCCTGAAAAGCTCTGCAGTCCAGACAAATTTGGACAAAGTTAATAACCATTTAGAAACTATAGGGAAGAGAGGAAGAAAAGAAAAAACCCATAATTATATGACCCAGCAATTCCACTCCCAGGAATATACCCAAAAGAATTGAAAGCAGGCTCGGCGCCTATAGCTCACCGGGCTAGGGCGCCAGCCACGTACACCTAAGGTGG